CTCGACTTATTAACTTCTCCTCGTTCTGCACAGAGTTGGCTGTAAAATCTTTGAAGATTTTATCAGGTACAGGTGTCGATTCTTGCTGCTCCAAGCACACCTCAGACTGTTTCGCCTGGCCATTAAAAACGACAGAAAGGCCAACGTGGGTCAACTTATGCGATTTCTTTTTTTCTTTTTCTGTTTTTTCTTTTTTTTTTTTTTTTTTTAAGAGTTGCATACTGCTGAGGAATAAGCTCGTTAGGCCTAATTACAGATGTTGAATCGTGAAGCCATTTATCTTTTCAGCTCAGTTTCAGCAGAAGTTGGAATCAGTAACAAGTTATTCTGATAGCCATTCTTAGGAGGAAAAAACTAAGTTAGATAGGTGAACTGGAAAAATACTAATTAGACTTTTTAAGACGCAGAAGTCATACAGTTAGGCGAGATAATATTTCTTAAGACAGCAAATAGTCATGTAACTTTTAATTATGATCTGCTAACTAAAGCTTGTATTGTTTCATCTATAAAAACATTTTTTTCTGGAGATTTCTGCTGAAATTTACAGATCACTTCCTATTTTGACTCCTATAGGAGTCGCGCCTGTGCAGTCTTGGTTAGTCAAAAATGTTTCCCAACAACCTGAAGGATATTTATCACTCCGGTAACTGCAACTCCAAAACGTAAATTTGTAGCAAAAGAATGCTATAATTTGGATTTATTTGACACGCAGTAAATATTTGTACTGTCTTCTAGCTCTCTGATTGAGCTCCTGCTGCATAAAAAAAAAAAAAAAACCCGACAGTGTTTCCAGGCAGAGTTAATATATGGGTTTCTCCTTGCGTCGTAAAGCTTGAGGTTAAATTCTGGGACGCAAAAAAAGAGATGGACTTTGAGACGCTTTCTTGTTCACAACTCTCTGTAATTTGAAATGAACAAAATAAGATTCATCATGTCAATGACTGTAACATATATTCACAGGAATGCGGGCTTAACCTGTTTTAAGCATCACAACCGACGAGGACCTTCGGGCATATGCGGGAAATCAGAATTCCTCATACAGAAGTTTTTTTTTTGTTTTTTTTTTTTTTTAGATGTTACTCAGGGGCAAAAAAAAAGTAATTTGATTATGTACGTAACTTGAGAGTTGAAAGAAAAAATCTGGAAAGAAAAAAAAACTGAGTTTTAGTTTTTCTTCAAATAAAAAAAAATAAAAAATCTCAAACTTTCAGTTCTTTCTCTCTTGAAGAATAAGCCTATAACTTCCATGGATACTTAGGTTAATTAGAGCCAACTGTCATTAATGTGAGTGCCATAATTTCTGATAATGTAGCCTAAAGGAAGCACATATGAAGAAAAACCTGAACTGGACCTATGTCAAGCCCTGAGGAACAGCATAATATACTCTTAAACAGCTGAAGAGTCGTTATTAACATTTAAAAAGTGGAAGACATCACAGACATATGAGTTAAATCAGCAATGTAAACTCAGGTTAATTGGTAAAGATATAGGCATACTCAAAGTTTGAATGCTGTTTAAATTCCTGACTCGTGATGTTTTTGTCTTTTCTATTAAGATTATAAATTTAAAATGTATTTCTTTGAGACTGAGATTACCTCTGTTAATGCCAGCTATATATATATATATATATATATATATATATATATATATATATATATATATATATATTAAAAAAATACTTTATTTAAATTGGCTAAAGAGTTTTCAGTGTCTTGGAACAACAAGACGTTTGTTTTCCATCAGTGTTATATTTTTACTTCTAGAGCCATCAGAGGACAGAACAAAATGCTGCACGCTTCTTTTATTTTTCTTTGTCTGCTTCTAAAACTTTATGACACAGCCCCAGTCTGGTTAAATCCACTCAAACGTACACTGCTTTGACCAAACCTACCTCTTTGAAGAGATTAAGCAGAATTGTTGCAATAGAGATGTAAAGTTCGGCAACAGATCTTCACCGTTAAAAAAAAACAAACTAGGATCATAATGCCCACCCTGTTATCTGAAACTTTCCTCTTTTGCTCTCTTTCGATTCATATATTATTTACTTGGAGCGATCAGCCGCTTTGCTCTGCCCTCTTTGTAGTCAGTAGGTTACTGTTAGTGCAGAGTCTCTGCTGATTGTCATCATAGCCATTGAACCCTATTGGTAACAGCATAAGTGAGATTTAAGCCTCGGTAACATGAGTGTGGAGGTGATTGATGTGAAATATGCCCTCCCTCATTGACTGGATGAACTCCATTTTCTGCTCCTAATGCAGAAATCACTCCGGGTCCCGAGCATAATGATTTACGATGAATCTGTGTCAATGTTGAACTCGGCAAACCCCACATAATCCATCTTGCAGATATACCTACCCCAATCCCACCCTACCTTGCCAGCCCACAGCCGCCCCATCCTCTCAGCCGTCACAATGGGGGGGAAAAGTAAGGAATGCGCTCTCGCTCACTTCCTCTCTCTCTCTCTCTCTCTCTCTCTCTCTCTCTCGCTCTCTACGTCTGTTACTGTTGAATCCATTACAGGCCTGATGTGTAATCACGGAGGACCTCTGTGCCCCCTCACACTGTAATTACCTGGATACAGATCCTCACTCCATCCCCAAGAGCGGCTCGAAACTCCATTAACCAGCATGCAGTGCTTTCGGCTGCTCTGTCTGGGTGGCTCTGTGGAAATTTGAAGTACGGAGGGAGAGGAAGGTTGAAAAATGTATTTAAGTGATTGGATTTTGACCTCTGATTTTTGACCTCATTTCTGAGGGAATAAATCATGGTCTGAGCAAAATCTCCACCGCAAGCCACCCGCCCTCTCACCCTCCGATATGGAAATCTTTTCAAGTACAGTACATGCAACATGACTGCACCGTGAAATCAACCCCTGTTGTCAGTCTTTGTATCCTACACAGTGACACCGCTGTTGCTGCTGACAAACATTATCCTGTGTGTGATCATGTGCGCAGTGTCGCCCTCCCCTGCCTCCCTCCCTCCCTCTCTTTCAAAATAAGTCAAAGTGGAGCTGGCTGTGTAGACACAGTAGGGTTGTCACACTGTGTCAAGTGCGCGGGTGTCAGCGTTGCATCTGTTGCAGTCACATCTCAGAAGACACGAGGAAGCGTCTCTCTGTTGACTTCATCTGTTTGTTTGGCAGCCTGCCTGATTGCTGGAGTGTGTAGTGGCGAAGAGGAGCTCCGGCTCAGTCGGCGCAAACGGCGACAAGCCTAATCCCTGCTTTGCCGGGAGAACAGAGAGTCTTCTCCCAAACAAACAACGCAACAGGCAAGCTCCCGTGACTTCCCCGCGCCATCCTGCAAAGAGGGACACTGGATCTTTGGGGCTTTTCTGGAATACATTTTGCAAATCTGAAAACATGCAATATTTTGTCACATGCTTGATATCGGGAGATTATTCACTTACCTCGCATCAAGCTATTGCAGTAACTAACTGATAACGACTCCTTACACCAGTGCAATGTAATTTTTATCCATTCTACTCTCAAGAGTTATTTTAGTTTTAGCAATATTGGAGGATTTTTAGACATGAATAGCCTATTTACAGTATTAGTACAACACTTAAATACATACTTTGGCTAGGCTACTCCAAGATCTTAAAAACCTTTAGATTGGACCATTGACCTGTTTCATGAAAAAAGTACTCCTTAGTTTCAGCAGATTTCCTCATTCTATCAAGTCCGTCAAGTAATTCAGGCCCCAATATAAGAAAGTAGATGGGCTGATGCTTATTTCCAGTAATAACTGGGTGAGAGATGGAGTGCACCAAGGATAGAGCACCAGCCAATTGCAGGACAACACATAGATACACAGGACCATTAAGCGTGCATGCAGACACAATTTTGAGAAACCACTCAACCCAATCGTCATGTTTTTGGACTGTGGGAGGAAGCTGGAAAGAACTCATGCATGCACAGGTACAACAGGAAAACTTCATACAGAAAGACCCCCAGATGGGGATTGAAACCCGGGACTTTCTTACTCGCCAAAAATCCTTAAGGTTTAAGAAATTTCATGGTAGATTACAAATGATTAATCAGTTGTCTTCATTTCGCTTTCTTACTTTAGTGTTTCCATTTGGAGGGGTGTTAAAGTAATCTTTTATTTATTTTTTTTAACCAGCAACACCACTACTGAAGAAAGGTTTTTCACAGCAGACAGTTTGGCACCTCAGTGCAACAAACACTCAGGTGTCTCTGATGTCTACATTCCATTTAGATGATTTAATGATTGCTCATGCTCGCTTGCTGTCTCAGCTGACTGCTGTCCTTGAATGAACCGAGACTTAACTTTGTCGACTGTGATAGGAAAAGTCTATCCGTCTGTGCCTTGCCGCCCAGACATGTAAACGGCCCCAAAAGCAATTAGTAACATAGTGTCGTGGCAAAAGGCCTTCAGTACACGGACAAGATAAAAAAAAATTAGATTACATAGAAAATTACCAAGCCATTTACTGAAAAAGAAGAAAACAAAAAACGGACAATATTAATGGAAACAAGTGTCATTAATGGTTCTTTCCATCAAACCAAAACACAGAAGCTCTGATGTGGGGGCACTTTCTATGAAATAAATAAAAAAGGAAAAAATAACTCAGTGAATGGTTGCATCAAGGGAAAAGAAAAACAAAAAGAGCACTCAAAGTTAATGACAACGTACAATTAACTAAAAAAAAGGGCTAAGAATACTTTCTATGAGTAATAGCAACATAAACAGCAGTCATTTTAGACCATATTTACACTTTCATATGTTGTCTTTTCTTGCTGTTCAGAGGGGTTTTTTAAAAGATAAATATTTGAATTAATTTTATAGGAAACGTTTGTCTCAGAGAGAGTTTTGTAAACATTGTAAAAAAATTTGCTAAATATACTGTATGAAAAATTTCCATCAGGCAAAATTATTTACCTTCTTTCCGTTTTTCATTTTTTTTCTCTCTCTCTCTCTCTCTCTCTCTCGCGCGCGCACACAAACACTCACATAAATTTGGGTAAACATCAACAGGGAGGGCTTTGTTTTCCTCCCTGCCGCCAAGGCGAGAGAAAGCGAGAAGAGTGAGCCTTCACGAGTTGCGCTGCTGGAATCCGGATATGATGAAAATGTTTTAGACCTGAAGTGTCCCGAGTAAACTTACCGCAGCTGCGCGCCGAAAGAGTCAACAGAGGATCATGTTTTCGACTTTTGTACGTCAAAAACCATCTGGAATATCTTGGACTACGAACGTCGAACAGTTAGAGTAGGGGTAAAACTGTCGGGTGTGAAGTTGTCTTGTTTTATTTTTCCTCCTAACGTTTTGAGGAACGAGTTGAAGGAGGGAAAGAAGGATGGGAATAAGTCACATTTGAACTCAAGTGAGAGAGTTGTCATGTTTGAAAGGTAAGTCGGACACAAACAGTAAATCTGCCATTGCTTCTTCTTTCTTTTTTTTTCTTGCTATAAAACAAAACAAAAAAAAGGCAGACCGTGAACAAATGGGCTGCTTATAAACTCTTTCAGCAAAGTTTATGTAAAGAGCGTGCGGAGGGAAATTTCCACTAAGTTTTACTGGAGCTCGACGTCACTTTTCTCGGCGTGTGAATAAGCAGTTTGAGTAACGACTTCCATAGTTTTGCTTTGTGTCTAAAAACGCTGCGCTGATTGTGAGACTTATTGCTTTTTGCAGGACTGAGGGCTGAGGAAAAGAAGGGAGGAACTACTTCTGCTGGTGGTGGTTTATAATTTTTTTTCTCCCTTCGAAGAGGACGACTGCCTCATGTCCAAGGAGACTGTCCATCCATCAGAAGGGCCGGCGGGTCCAGGACAGGGCCCACGGCAAGAGACAAGTCCCCTGCTGTTAGCGTCACACGGTAAGAGAGCACAAGACAGGCCATTAATCAGTGGCTTTAGGTGTGTATTCGGCGAATATGGGTTAATGTCAAGTACAGGGGTTCCACAGAGGTTTTGTCAGAATGGATAACTTGTATATTGTTAAGCGGTGGTGGAATAAATAAAAAGAAAAACTCCCTAAATGTATCGTGGCAATTGTTCACATGGCAGCAGTTTGGCAATGAGGCTCTCTGCCCAGAGTGGCAGGCTTGGTGGGCGGCAGCAGGAGTTGTGAAGAAAAAAATGTAAAAACTTAATCTGAGTCCGCAGAAAAGGAAAGGCCATTTTACATAATTTACAATTTGTATGTAATTGTAATGGTCCCTCTAGTTCAGTGGGAGAGACGAAATGAGTTGAAGATACGTAAATGTTTAAATGAATAGTTTTTATCTATATTTTTCATTGGCACATTTCTAATTCTCCTTCTGTATCCTAGCTTGGGATTGATGGAAACAAACTTCATTTGGGTACTCTTTTCATCATTTGATGTAAGAATAATGCAGGTTTGTCCTCTCAAAGGCTAATAAACTTTAATTTTGTGCAGAACACTGGAAGACAAAATGTTGAAAATAAAACACACTTAAAAACAATAAGTCAAAGCCACACACAACCAGAGCCATAAAGAAAGTAGATTATGAATTCTCTGTAAACAAAATTTTCATCAGAATGGAAATGATTAAGCTCAGTTTAATTTATTGTGCGATAAATTGATTAATTGCTCACTGCAACAAGATTCATTTGCAGTTTGTAATGTGGAGGAGTGAAAATCCCCTGCTGTGACAGCAGCTGAGAGGGACAGATGCATCGCGACTGATGCGCCTGTGAGTGTTTTGTGACGGGCATAGGCTCCATGACAGCTCCCACTGACTATTGAGCAGAATAAAAACAATGGTTTGAGATTAAAGTCTCCACTATTGGACAAGATCTGCATTTTTTTTAAGAGGTAACGTGACCTAAATGCTTCTTATTGATAACAGTGAAATTTCCAGCTTGGCAACACCAATAGTTATTTTCATGCTCACTCAGAGGAGGGCAAGGGCACGGAAAACTTTCTTGTGTCCGTGATATGCAGTGATAAATGTTTCTTCAGGAATTTGTTTATGAGAAGTACTTGTACTGCTCAGACTAGAGCTTTTTTTTTTTGGCCATCTTTTATCCAGACAAGCACAAAGAGTACAACGGATAAACCTTGACTGGTAGACTCTTGAAGTTTCTTGCCCAGAGCGCTATTCGTTCAAGAACAGCCACCACACATTTGTAGCTGGCAAGCTAAAATGTGTGAAAGGCATACATAGCTCATGTATTCACCAAGTTCTCCCTCTGTTTCATCCAATAAAATTCAGCTATAAATACACTTACGTATTTGGTTTCGAAACTTGCTTTTAAAAATAAAATAAACAGAAAACATGAGTGAAAGTGGCTTTGGGTTGGTATTTTCTTATACTTTCAGGCAACTTTCAGTAAAAGTCATTATCTGCGCACTAGTCTGAAAGCCTTGATAATGTTTGTGCCTGTTTTTTTTTCCTTAATAAAGTTGGAGGAAACACCCTGCTGACTATTAACAGCAACCACACAGCCAATTATAGTTTTTAATTAACTTTCCAGTTGCCCCTAAGATTATCACATGTAAAATAAGCTTACCCCCACACCCGCTTTTCATTTTTCTTCAAACAAGCAACGGACCGTTAACCGATCATTATTATGGCACGGTTTCAAAAAGAGAAAAAAAAAAAAATAGGAAAGTAGGACAAAGTGAGCAATTGCACGGGACTGCTGGATTGTAAATGGATTCCACTTTTGTTTTTGGTGGATTTTCCCCTTCAGTGGACAGTGGGTCTGCTGGATATAGGCTGATTTTAAGTAAACTGTGATGCTTAAATACTCCAAATGATCTCAACATGCTTCCACTTCCTATATTACACCTCTGACCACTTATCCATCACAGCTCGCAAAATGGATTGTTATTGCAGTGAAGCAAAGCTATATTAGGTGTGCTCCATGGTCAAACCCTTGATTCAGTTTCACATCAAAGCAACAGTATGCAATAAACAAGCCATAATGTTAAACACAGGAAGCCAGTTTGAGAGACAGATTAAGAGTTTCTCGTATTTGTGCATGGCTATCAGGCCAGTTTATTTTTTTCTTCTTTTTTCTTGTTTTTTTGCCTGGATGCTTTTCCAATTTAGATGAATGCAGCCTTTATAGCAGTAAAAGAATCTTGGCAGGTAGAGCACACTCGGGAGCACTGGGAGAAAGAAAATGAGATCCAGAGCTCTGGCAGGGACTTTCACCTGAACCGTCCCACCATGTCGCACACGTTGCCAGGTGGTTGTTTTTGCTGGCGTGAAAAAGGAGGGCGGCCTTTTGCAACTACGGGTTACACAGCTGATATTCGGTCTGGCACAACCAACCCAAACGGGAATGTTAACGTTTGGTAGAAAAGTGTTTATAGGTAACCTTGTTTTTCGGCAATCAGGACTTCATACCCACTTTTGGGCATTAATGTGCTGTTGGTTTGCAGATTGTTTCGTAATGCTTTGAGCCGTTCACACCGTGTAACTTTATTGCATGAAAGAAATGAATCAGAAGCACAGGTTTGTTTTTGGATTTTCTCTAATCCTCACATAGATGCATACATCCCCACAAGTATTTGGTAAAAAGTCACTAATCATGCACTGTTTTGTGGTTTTTACTAGGGGTATGGCATAGTGCTGCCCCAGTTAGCCACTGTTCTTATCAGAGATAATAGATGCTTATTTAAATCAATTGGTATGTACACATAGAATCTACTCACAGAATTCACAAGTTTTCATCTATTCCAAGACCAGTGTTCATGTTTATCAGGATCATTACCTTTTATGGGTTTTTAGAAAACCCATTTGTTTCCAAGTGGGCTATTGATTTCAGGTGAGGGTTTGTCCTGCACGTGCATGGGCAGAAAACGACAAAAACAATATTGGATAGCATTGTCCTGTGTGTGCTACTTAACCTGCCTACCTTAACACAACTTCTGATAAGGAACATGTGTTACACTTTGTTCATTTGAGACAGAGAGATGAAGGTGGAAGCTAAGGGTTTAAAAGCGCATGCATGTTTTGACGACATGTTAAAATCACAGCGCTACGTAGGGCCCCAGCATAACAGCAGTGGATTGAAGATATCTTGGCGGTCTCGTCTAAACGTGAAACTTTTCACCAAGCAACATTCAAAAACACCATCGGTTTCCAGACAGTGGTCTTACGTAAACATAGTCCAAGCTATGCCAGAAAATTGTGGACTTGGATTAAAAATGGGCTCTGTACCAGGAAACAAACTCACCTCTTCTGCCATAAAGACAGATCAACTATTGAGCCAGATGGATTTTAAACCAAATATTTGTTGGGGTGTATGCATTATGCCACACTCTCTGTGTTTCACTAAATCCTTACGAGCCTCACAACGAAATAACTTCCAGGCCTATGAGGACTGTATGTAAATGTCCGACCGCCCATTTCATTTTGAACCATACTTAACATCCACTTCTTGTGACTTCCCTCCCCAGATGCTTGTGACTGTGAATCAACAGGAAGCGCGTCTTCTCCTAGGAAACAATCCGCTGAAGGACAAAGTCTCGTGACGGAGGAGAAGCCTAATTATTGCAAGCCTGTGAGGAGTAAGTCTTAATGACCCGGGAAAACTGTGGGCAAACAGCAGTACATCGTTGTGCTATTTTTTTCCTCTCTCTAAATAATAAACAATGAGGAATTTAATTGCAGAAAGTGAAAGTGATTAACATGTCGGATCAGCCTAACTTCTGCAAGTGATTTTTTATTTATTTTTTTATTCAACATTTGAAACTGCTTTAATTTTACTCAGATTTTTTTTCTAATGCCAATATTCTCACCTTATAGGAAAAGCTATTGTTATGCTGTTCCTGTGTTAGGGTCAGTTGGCCATCTGAAATATTAGCTTCACTGTTTCCAATTACAGTAATAGCCAGATAGCAGCTCGGCCTCTTGGCAAGTGAGTATAACATGCCTGCTGTCTTATTCTGACGTTATGACCAAGACTTGGCTCAGTCGGCCATTTTTGCTTCTTTCAAATCCTCAGCCATGTGTTTTGCAAGAAGGGAAATCCAGTTTGTGGTATTGGCCGTCCTCATGTACCGATTGAGTCCTACTTGTAGTTTCTTTAACCTGGTGCCAACGTTTGCCTCTTCACAGGATGTTATTGCAGACTGGGAAAGAGTGTATTTTAGTTGAAGTAGCATCCAGGTTTGCAACATGTGGGGGGTGGGGAAATAGACTTGTCTGGTCCATCAATCATCTACCTATCATCCATAAATGATAGGTCATCCGTCCATTCCTATGTCTGTCCATCAACATCTCTAACTGTACATTAGTCCATCCAACTACCTTCTGTCAATCTGTCTGGACGTCTTCTTGTCTTCTTATATATTCGTGTGTCTCTTATGTTGGTCTGTTGTATGCTCACCTTTTCTTCCGTCCGTCCATCAACAAACTGCTTGTCAATCATCCGTCAACCGTGCAGCCAACAGCTCGACAGTTTCGCCGCTTGTCCGGTGTAAATTCAGGGTGAACTTTTAATTACATGATTCAGAAATGGACAAAACTGGAACGCGTCAGACCTTTAATTGAGTAAAGGTTTGTGAACTTCTGGAGGCATCTTCCTAGTTAGAATCAACAAGTCTCCAATAATAAAAACCTTTCAACCGTTGCTACTGCGTACTTTGTGGCATTTCTTCTGGTTCAGGCTGGAAACTTTCTCGTGACTCTGATCTAATCATATTGTTTTATGCAAATGTAGAGCACAGCAAGGCTCTGCTAAACAGCAATTTGCCATTGATTTAGAAGCAATTCTAATTAAACCTAGTTGCACAGTAATTCCACTCCTTACAAAGATATAGATTGCAGGTCACAGAGTGAAACGCGACTAAAAGGCTTTGTGTATGCGTGCTTCATTGTTCCTGAGAGGAGTGAGATGTGACAACATGGGCTAATGGCAGCTGATTGCTGCTGTAATAAGGATCGTGTTTTCATTTAACACCATTCTTGACTACAGGTCTCTTTTGTTTCACAGTTGTTAACTTTTCCAGAGTGCCCTTTTCCTCCTTCTCCTTTCTTTTTTTTCCTGTTTATTAAACTTAGTGACTTAGCTGTAGCTTATTTACCAGAGGAGGGGAAAAAAATTAAAAAATAAAATAAAATGATTTGTTTTTAAGTCATCAAAGTGATGTAATGAAGTTCAAGTTTACTTTTAAGGCTTGGATATCACTTTTGACTTGGAATTGATTTTACCCCTTTAAGTTGATAATCCATTTTAGCCGAGTTAACTTAGCTTATTTATATCACAGAGTCCCATGGGCTCACTGTAGTTTAGCTGTGTTCGGGGGTGCTGCGCTTGCTGCTAGGGGTAATTGAGAGCCCTCTCCACTGCAGAAACAGGAAATCAATAAGAAATCATCTGCCTGCCTACATCTGAGCCTTTGCGCTTTTCTTTTCCCCCCGGCTGTCTGATTTAGAACTTGTGTACTGTATCTGGACAATAAGTTTTCTCTACAAGAGGAAGCCCATTATGCTGTTTTGATAACAACAGCGATCCCATTTCAGCTTCAATAACACTGTTTTGACAGGTCGGCCATTACATCAGCTGGGTCGGTCCTCTTGAAGCGAGTTCCTGAAATAGGCCAGCGGTTGCATAATTCCCAACAGGGCACCCGTAGGACACAGGGTGCAATCGCAGGAATTTGTAGTGAACAGTGATCGGACACAGATGTAAAATAAGCTAAGCTATTTGAAATGAGAAGGATATTACAAAGTCTGAAATTTGTCTGTCTGGAAAAAAGGAAAAGGGAATTTAATTTTTTTTTTCTATACTTTCGTACTTCTTCCATTGTCTTAAAGATCCTTACATTCGTCTAATCCCGCTGAATTCTTCCTCGCTTCCTCCTACCCATAATCCATCCATTCACACATTTGTTAATATGTGATTTTTAATAGTTTCCCTATTTATTGCCCGATTACTTTCCAAATACTTACTTTCCTTATGCTTTCTGCCATACATTCATATGGAATTTTTGTAACCAGAAGAACTACAAAGTATCTCTACTTTAAAATTGTCTAAAAGGTGCTGAGGACTCTCGGTGTTAGAAAAGTATAAACTTTTCCCATTAAAAAAAAAAAAAAAAATCTATGACCCCTGGATGGTTTTGTGTCTGAGAGCCCTGTGGTTTGTTAGACAGCAGTGTTCGCTGCCTTTCTCAGAGAATCGTCCGTCAGTAGATCTGCCATCCAGGGTGAGGTGGGAGAATTCCTGTGGGAAGAGAGACATTCTTCAACGAACCGTTCTGCTCTTACGGCTGATATCTCTGCAAACAGTGCCTCTCCAGCCACCGCCTCGGAATAAATCACTACCACCTCGCAGCGGGTTTTAGGAGTTTAATCATCATGTAATTCACCGGATTGCAAATAGTTTTTTTTTTTTTTATTCTTCTTTGGTTGATAAAGACGACCTTACTAGCCTGTGTGGTTTTTTTTTAAATTTTTTATCTTAGTGTAACTTTAGTAAGAAAGTAAGGTCAAATAGCACGACTCTACTTTCGAAATAAAGGCTTTAATTCTGGCCTTTGTGTGAATCTTACGTTTGCCACACGTTTGAGTTTATTACCTTTTAAGAAGAGTTGACCTTTTTGAAATGAACTTTGTGACCCTCCACACCCCTCGCATAATAGATGCAGAACGGATTTAATCGGACAGGACTGCACAATTTTACTCGACTTTGTAAGTGCAAACGCTGGACACGTGAGATGTTTATCCGGTGTTGATTCAAACACCGCAATCACCCCCTGCGTTACCTTATGCGCCTTTCAAAGAGCCTGGGGCACTTTGAGACTTTTAACCTCATGTCAGTTTGCTTTTCTTTGAGTCTTTATGCCAGTTATTAGAGCTCTGTGCTGATTGTTGTTTTGCAAGATTCATATCTTTATTGTAATCCCTGGAGCCCTGTCTTTGCAGAAAAACTGCCTCCAAAGCATAGGCCTATTATAAACTGCACCGTAATTTTCAAGTGATTACTTACCAGTGGGTCATGGAATCAAAAACTGTATAAATAGGGTGAAATGCTAGTGCAGGGGTTGATTAAAACGGTCATTGTAATTCTACCTCTATTGTAATTATTTTCTCATTGTCTTGCTGCAGATAGATTTCATATGGGAAATTTCAAGTGTGTTAATTAGCATATTTTACTCAAAGTGCCCAAGACTGTTCACCATTTTTTTTTCTTTAAGATATCCAAAGTAGTTGAGCCAATTGATTAGATATGCATACCTCAATTCCTAATTATTTAAGTGCACATTAAATAAGAGGGTACACATATAGATTTTAATCACTAGAGTCTTTTTCTGTTTTCCTTACTGTTGAAGACCATGTCTCTCATTTCGATTCAAATTGAATGATGGTCGTGGGTCTTAATATGCTGTAAACTTCTAGGAACACTCAAACTTTAGTGTATATAATTTAATAGATGAACACAAAGTGCAGTGTATTTGCAAATACAAGCCTGAAAGGTGTGGTCTGCATTTGCATTCACCCCTAATGAGTCCAGTTGCGATTAAATTAGAGAGTATCTAGAATGCGAGAATTTTTGCCAATATTTGCCATATATCTCAAGCATGTTCAAGGGTTGCTATCGATTTTGTTTAATTTAGGTTTGGACTTTGACTGGACTCTTCTAACATGATTTTGTTGATCTAATCCACGCTTTTGTATCTCCGGCTGCATGTTCAGGCTGTTTGTCCTGCTGGACAGTAAACTCCTGGCCCTGTCTCAAGTCTTGTGCAGGTTCACTTACATTACCATCCTTGTATTATGTTCCAGTCTTCAGTCAGAGGTTTCGTCAATTCCCGCTGTAATCCGGACTGCTGCAGGATATCCTTCCTGCCCAGATCTGCTCTTTGAAGAAGCTTAGTTTCATTTACTAAAACGTATTCTTCTCAGTGGGTGTGATGTGTTCAGTGTGTGATAACTGTAATCCACCACACATTCCAGTTCGCATTCAATTAAAAATTATAGTTTATATCTCACATGGCCAGCGAATGTTCTTGTTGTGCTCCGGCAAACTGGAAAATAGCATTCTGATTTTCTCTTAAGAGCAAAAACACACAGATGCTACACAGGTGGTACAAATTAGGTGCTTTTTTTTTGCATGTAATTGTTTGTATTAGTTTGTATTTGATTGTGGTTAAGTAATGCAGGACAAAAAAAATGCCTGTAAAACATTCAAAGTTTTTTTTATTTGTAAAAATGTTAAAGTTCAACTTC